CAATCATGCAAAGAAAGAATTATAATGAGAATTAACTACACTCAAAAGTAATCTCTCAAATTCCTAGCCTAGATCCCTCATTGACTAGGTGCATAGAAGAAAATTACCCAAAATGCAATCAAATATATCAATTCTAATTCACAATCCCTTGTCAAACTAAAACCAATATGCAATTAAGTGTGCTATCATGGGAGATCAATCCAATCTAAAACAAACAACATGCCAACATCAATTCAATCAATTTAATCACACAATTATCATCAAATTTATCTCAAATAACTCAAATAATCATTACAAAGTCTCACTCAACACCTAGTAGAAGGGAAACTACTCAAGCATAATGAAAGCAACTAAATAAAGCAATAAGAGAAGAGAAAGTAAGAAATGCTCATTGATATAAGGTGGAGATCTTCAAATTCCTCATTTGATTATCCAAAATCCATGAAAACCATTGTGCTCCTCACTTTCTCTCTCTAAAATTTTAAGAGTTTCTCTCTCTAAAACCTAAAACTAACCTAAAATCTATTCTGAACTGAAAAATCTCTTTTTTTTAGCAAAAAAAAAAAAAACTATTTATACCCCTTACAAAATTGCTTAGGAAGCTCCGCAAAAAGTCAGCTGAAACGGGAAAAGGTCCGACCGAACTCTGGGTAGGTTCGGTCGGACTCAAGGTAGGTTCGGCCGAACTCAGGGTAGGTTCAGTCGAACCTCCCTGATCCTTGTTTGGTCGAACTTTCCTGGTTCGACCCCTCCTGTAAACATGCTGAAAACTTGGTTGAAACTGCCTTGGAGGTTCGGTCGAACTATTCAAAAGTTTGACCACACCTTGGTTCGAACGAACCTCTTAGAGGTTCGGCCACACCTCCTCTTGAACTTCCTCTTCTTGCTTCCTCTTCTTCCCTTTTTCTCCTCTTGTCTTTGTCCATGCCTCCATACTTGGCCAAGGGGCCTCCTACCGTGCTTAGGACCGTCATGGAACCTACAAAAGATAGCAAAGATCACGAGAGCATGGGGATGATAAAATTATGCATAAAGATTATCAAAACAAGCGCAAATAAGCATACTTTTCATCCATAAAAGAAAAGGAAGCCATAAGAGGAGAAAAGAGGTAGAAAACCTAAGAAAAACAGGAGAAAAGAGACCAATACACTACCCCTAAGGGTAACATAAATGTCACTCATAACTTAGCCTTTCTCTTTTGACGAATCGGTTTATCAAAAAGTAAGACTTGAACAAAGGTGTTGTCCTTGATTAATCGCCCTTCTCTCCTCGACCAAGTACTGTGGGAAAGGAATTTGGGGATACTTATTGTTAATTCTTTGACTCAAACTTTATTCAACATGTAATGGATGGAGGAAGTGAAGAAAGATTGGAATAGAATATGAAGAAGAAAGATGGAGGTGGAGGGATATGAAGAACTAGGAATAAAATGTACCCCCTAACTCAAATGACGGAAAAGACTGACTCATGCATGAACCTAAGACATGGCCATGGTGATGTGTACTCAAAGTGTGTGCTAAGACTAGTGAGTGTAGGTGACATGTTAAGACTCGTGTCATGACCATATGGCTAGACTATGTGACCAAGACTCGATTAATGACTTGACAAGGTGTTATTGACAGAGAAAATTAACCGAATTAATTAGCAAACTGGTTAATTAGACCCTAGGTGATGACTCGACAAATAATCCGAACTGTCGGCCAAGCGACATGACTGGCGTCACAATATGGTTATTGGCGCCAGAATTTTTAGTAAATGTCTAACGCTACACACCATACAGTGGCGCTACAGCTCAGTTTTTGGCACCAATATTGGAGCCTCGGTCTGGGACTGTTTTCGGTATTATTAGTCAACTAGGGTATGCTTGAAGTCATACTAGGTCAATTCCGATTAAAAGAAGAAAAAACTTTATTGACTCAAATTAATTAATTAATTAGGCAAAGTTCTTTAAGTCATTAATTATAATCTCAACACAAATCAACAAACGGTTAAGAGGAGCATAGGATATATATGCACGACAAATAATGCGCAATTAGTCAAGTAGGCACAATATGATGCAATGAGTTCGCAACCTAACCATGGCTCTAGTTCTCTAAAGTTCGGGATATGGTTTAGTCAAACAGGGTCCATGGTTAATTGTCCAGATGCACCGCGTAGAAGCCTAACCGTGAAGGGTTAAAGCGTGTGGATAGGACACCGCAAGTTTTTAGAAAAAATTCACTTCCATGGTTTGGTGAATTCAACCTCTCAGATGTACCCTTTGTTTCCAGGAGCGTTCAATCGGGTAGATAGAGCATGAATTCCCAGAAGGTTATGTCCATATGTAGAACACATATGGGTTTCAGAAAAGTGAGAAAAAATTCAATCAGAAAGTAGGATCGAGCAAACAATACGAAAAACCGGTCTAAATTAGAACGCATATTTCTGGCTCGGTATTGGGGGAAATTGGCGCCAGCAAACAGAGACTGGCGCCAACTTTTAACTGTAGCGCCTGGCGCCAATACTGGCGTCTGGCGCTACGGCTAAAAGTTTGGCGCCAAGCTCTCTGGCCCCTGACGCTACTTTCCACATGCCTCAGCAGCTTTCTGTGCTCGATAAAATCTTCCAGTTTCGCGCGGTGTTATTTCAGTCCTAGTTGTGAAAGACATTTCTCAAATTTCCTACGTGTAAAATCCTATGTTTTTTACTCATTACGGATGGTATTTCTAATGAGAACTTTTTTATGCATATGACAATAATGTTAATCAAAATTACGCACATGAAATACTTAGAACTTTTCGAGTCTCATCCACTCATTCTAGATCATTGCCGAAACAAATTCAGGAATTAAAATAGAAATCCTCCCCAGTGGAGTCGCCAAAAACTGTAGGGAATAATTTCAAGCCTTTAAAATCCCACTAGCTTGAACCCCACTGTGATCATACACTAAAGTATGGTGGCGTCCAAAAGGGAAGAAGATAGAGCAAAAGAGTCGCCAACAAGTTTTTAAGGAACTTGTAAACCGTTCACGAGGTGAAGGTTACACCCCTTAACGATCCAAGAGATCGTCAACTCCATAAGGTCATGAACCAAATAAGGGTTTGGGGATGATGGTACAAATCCAACCTAAAAGAGATTGAACTTGCCCTAATAATAGGCCTCTACTTTATTTATTCTGCTCGTATTCATGTGCGCTTTCTGATTAACATGCAATCAATAGGTTAAACCTAAACCTGTTTATCTATGTTGGTTGAATTTAATGCACAAATAAATCTATTATTGGCGATCACTTGAATTATAATCACAATTAACCCTAACAAGATTATTAATTATCTTATTAAGCGTGATTATAAGTACAAATTCCCTTTAAACATGCATAAAAGGTGATCAAGCAATAAAGAATAAGCATCAAGCAACATAATAAATAATCATTATAAAAATAAATTATAATTGAAATAATCATGATAATAATCATAAAAGAAAATAATCATCCTATTAATAATAATTGAAATAATTATCATAAATAAAATAATCATCAAAATAATAATATTCATAATCATTATAACAATTATAATCATAATCATATTCATGTTAATATTAAAGCATAATAAAAATAGCAAGATCCTAGGCATGATACTAACAAGATTAATAACAAACCCTAGCATGTCACTAAGCAATAAAAATCAAATCTTTAACCCTAACATGATACTAACAATCATAAATATTAGGAAGAATAGTAGGCATCATAGCGATCATATTTAATATTAAAGTTACCCTAGACATGATACTAGGAAGATCAAAACGCCCTAACATAACATTAGGAATCATAATAACAACCTAAGCATGATTTCTACATCATAATATCAATTAAACCATTAAAGTACTTACTTGGATGCCTTGTATCTCTTTCTAATAACAAATTACACACGTTAGTAACTTCAAGGAAAATAATAATCAAAGCAATTAAATTAAATAATTGAAAGAGAGATTTGGGACCAAACCCTCAGAAATTAAAACCTTTCACGTCTAGGGCGAAGGCAACTTCGAATATGGCTAAGTGTATCAAGATCTAATGAATGCGGAATTTTGTATTTGAAAGAAAGAATTTAAGAAAAGAATAAATAATAGAGATGAATGAAAGAGATGAATATTGGTGAATGATTTGTGAATGAGGAGAGTTGATGAATGAAGAAGAGAATTGATGATTCTTGGTGATGAGTGGTTGATGCTTGTTGATGAATGAAAACGGAGTTTTTAATACGATATTTATAGAGAAAATCATCCAAAAAAGATAATTTATCAAAACAGAGTCTGAAGTCCACAAAACCACCTTGGCGCCAGCCCTGGCTAATTGGCGCCAGGTTCAATGGCTAGCGCCTGGCGCCAATCCTGGTTCCAGGCGCCAAGGCTTGGGTTGGAAGCCAAACTGATTTTCAACGCGTTTTCGAAAATCTGATAAATTTCCCGTACTGGAAGATAAAATAATATAATTTCAATCGAAAATGCTATTTGATCTTGACTAAAACTCTGAAGAGTCCTAATTGAATTAGGAATGATAAGAACCTGCTAGAATGTTCTAGAAGAATAAAACCATTCCTAATTTCATTAGGAATGATAAATTATATTAGGCCCTCCCCTAGATCATTAGGCCGTACTTAAAGCTCAAACCGGGCCCAGTTTAGTAAATTGGCCATAAATTCCTCAATATTCATCGGAATTGGGCTTATAATATATCGTTGGAAAGGTCTTTGCAAGCCCCATCCAACTACACCACTATTAGACCCATATCATGGACCAACCAAACTTGATTGGCTGTTTTCTTAAAATAAAGTTTTCAAAAAACAGGGAGAAGAGAAAAGAAATAAAAACTTTCCGCAACACTAGACCTTTCCACACTTTCGTTTCATTCGATTATGATTCGACGTGAAAGGTACTCATCACCGGGTTTGGTTTTGGGGAGACACAAATGGGTGTCTACACCCATCTTTAAGCTTCATAAGGAACCTAATCAACCTTTGATCCTACTGTATCTTCAAGAATTTAGTAGTAAGGTTACACCTACAACCATTACACTCACACACAGGCATAGGGCTTTCATCCCAAAGAACTTTTAGCTTAGCAAAATACTCTGCTATTTCATCAGAATCTTGCTTGACCTCATTTATCTCTTCTTGCAATGCATATAGTTGTGCAGAAGAAACATGACCATAGCGTTCCTCAAGATCCTGCCACATATCTCTAGCTGTCTTATAAAAGAACACTGACTTCTTAGTTATAGGACCAAGAACTCCTAGAATCCAACCAACAACCAAATCGTTGCATCTTATCCAAGCCTTATAAGTAACATCTGTTGATTGAGGCTTAGGTAGAGTTCCATCAATGAAACTCATCTTATTCTTAGTAGACAGACCTATAATCATAGACCTCTTCCAGGAACTGTAATTCTCTCCATCAAAAACATCATTAATGAACTTGTAATTGTTGTTATCAGATGGATGAATGTAATATACTGTGCTAGGATCTTGTGTCAATTCAACAACTCTATTGCCTTCATAAGCAGCCATAATTCAGATATCAAATTCCACAAATCAACTTGATTACTTCACAAGAAATTCTATATATCTCAATTAATCCGAAAAAAATGATTCACAAATCCAGCAAATCAGAAACAACTTTCAATCCTCCAAAAAATTAATCCAGAACACGGCTCAGATTGCGAAAATATACCAAAACTTCAAACAAATCAAGAATCCAGTAATCAACCTTTGAACAAATTCTTAAGCAGCAAATAAAACGCAATCGCAACAATCTCAACACCACAAAACTTCAGAATAATTCGTAAAAAGCACCAAATGTAATTCCAAAAACAGCTTCAAGCAAAGAAATCCAAGAAAATTCAATCAACTTCCAGAAACCTTCAATTCGAACTCCAAAACTCCATAAAATATGCAGAAATCAAGAGAAAAATTATCAGAATCGTACTCGGAAAACCCGCTCTGATACCATGTTAAATTCGCAACAAGAACTAAGTAGCAGAATAGAACTAAGTAAAACAGTAGAACAGGACACCTTGATTTTCTACCATCACTGCTGCGTCCGTAGAAGTTCAGCTCAGGACCTAGAACTAAGTTTCTTATTAATGGAGGAAAAAGTTTCTTACAGAATAAGAAAGAAGAAGAAAAACTAAAGAAAGGAAAATTACAGAGAGAATTTAAGAGAGTTGAAAATGAATGAATGAATAGCACTACAAGTTGCATAGCTATTTATAGCTAGCATTTATTAAAATAAGCTGAGGTGGAAAACTTGTAACAAACTTTTGTTACCCTTCCAACTGCATTCTGACGTGGCAAAAGTTGTTGTAACAACTTTGACTTTTTGCTGACTTAGAGCATTACTCAACAACATGTAATGTGTGATCATGTAATTTATTTATTTATATTTATTTATTATATTTTTTTTTACATTTTCTATTAATCAGACAAAGGATGGTGAAATTCTGGATTGCGTGGAGATAAACAAGCAATTTGCATTAGACAATCCATTACTACACAATCACTCAATTCAGGTTTGTTCAGTCCATTTGTTATTTATTTTTCATGCTGAATTTTATGCATGCCTTTGTTTATTTAGATTGACAATTTAGTCCTAAGATTAACTAAAGTCTTCAATTTACATGCAGATGAAACCTAATTTCAAGATCTCCAAGCAAACTACATCAACTATTGGCTCTTATACAATATCTTTATCGCCTCCACAACTTGTACCGAAAAGTACAAGATGTCCTAGAGGAACTGTTCTTATCAAAAGAATTCGAGAAGAGGACCTTGCATTGGAGAAATTCTCATCATCATTTAAGACGACAATTTCAACCACCAAATTAACCGAGTCTATAACTCCTAACATTGATTCAGTACCTGGACACTACGTAAGTATTAATTTTAATTAAATGTATGGTTAATTGAGAATATGATAAGAGTATAAAACATATTCTTAGACATCAGCCATAAGTTTTTTTTTTTTTAATAGGATAATAATAATAATAAAAAAAATAGTTTTATAATTTACCATGAATCCATTTTTACAACTATAATGTAATATGCTTCATATCCTCGTATTATTTAATCAATTATCATGCTAAGAAAAGTCTGTAGCAAAATTTTATGTGTTTTTATTTTATTTTATTTTATTTATTTTGGAATAATTTACGCGAAATTGATCAATCAAATCATCAAAAAATATTTAAAAAATGGGTTTGTTATTTTCTATGTAGATTGCAACTATTGTAGCATCAACCAACAACGTTGGAGTATATGGACTTATTGTTGTGCGACAGCGGAAGCAAAGGTCGTAAACAAACAAGAAAACAATAAAGAAATTCAATGCAAACAATAAGAACAACACCAAGAATTTACGTGGTTCACTATCGATGTGATAGCTACGTCCACGGGCACCGAGATCGAATGATTTCACTATAAACTGGCAAAGATTACAAAGATTACAATGAAGAACTTAATCACTCAAAGTATTCTCTCTCTTGTGTTTCTCTCTCCGTTTCCCTAATAATGATAATAGGAAGTTTATATAGTAGTGATTCCTAATTAAGATATACTTAGGTTACAATATCACAATATGATAAATATTAAATTCGTAATCGCTGAAAAAAACCCAGATCGCCCGGTCGGGCGAAGGCCCGCCCGATCGGGCGCGAGAACACGTCTTTTCCAACAACCGAAGTACTCCAAAAAACCCCTTCCGCCCGGCCCGATCGGGCAATGTCCGCCCGATCGGGCGAAGGCTCGCCCGGTCGGGCGAAAGCTCGCCCGGTCGGGCGCGCGAGAGCAGCTTCTTCAACGAATTTGCCAGGCACCTCTTCTTCTTCCGCCCGGTCAGACCGGGTAATGTCCGCCCGATCGGGCGGACAAAGCAACGAAGTACGAGTCACCTAATACTTATCAACAATCTCCACCTTGACGAGAACTCGTAGTCAGCAAACGACCCCATCAAGACATAGTGAAAAACATCTCAAGCCAAACCCGATGCAAGACTCATGCATAAGCCATACATCCCGATAAGTCTTCAACCAAGACCCATCACATACTCGTCTCCAAGTATAACAACTCATAATGCTCCACCTGCATCACAAGCCCCGGGCAAGCTCCACCTTAAGGCCAACACACCTACACCAGGAGCTCCCCAACTTCGCCCCTCAGGGCCTACTACATCACGTAGTAATCAATATTTAACAAGTCTAAGCAATGTTTAAACTTGCTAAACGGAACAGGCTTAGTGAAGAAATCAGCCGGGTTGTCAGCAGTCCCAATCTTCTTCACCTTAATCCTCTTGTCAGTACGTAAGAAATGATACCTGACATCAATGTGCTTCGTCCGATCATGGTGTACTTGATCTTTAGCTAAGCAAATCGCACTTAGACTATCACAATACACTGTAGCAAAATCCTGTGCAATACCCAGTTCACCTACTAGGCCTTTGAGCCAAATAGACTCCTTAGCTGCAGAAGTTAAAGCCATATACTCAGCTTCAGTAGTTGACAACGTAACTGATGACTGCAATGTAGACTTCCAACTAACCACAGAACCACCCAAAGTGAACACATAACCAGTCACAGACCTCCTGGTATCCACATCAGCTGCATAATCAGAATCACTGTACCCAGTGACCAAGCATTCCTTATCATTCCCGTACACAAGACCAATATCAGCTGTCCCTCTCAGGTAGCGAAAAATCCTTTTCACCCCTTGCCAGTGTTCCCTCCCAGGTCGAGCCATAAACCTGCTTACAACACTCACGGCATGCGCAATATCCGGCCTAGTACAGACCATAGCATACATCAAACAACCAACCGCATTTGCATATGGAACTCTAGACATATAAGACAACTCCTCCTCTGATTGAGGTGACATAGACAAAGACAACTTACAACTAACAGTAGTTGGCGTACTTATAGGCTTCGATTTTTCCATCCCAAAACGAGACAAAATCTTTTCAATGTAGCTTTTCTGAGTCAAGAAAAGCTTACCTCTAGCCCGATCCCTGTAGATCTCCATACCCAAAATCTTCCTAGCTGCACCCAAGTCTTTCATGTCAAACTCCGAGTTAAGCATCTCCTTTAATCTAGCAATATCAGATTTATTCTTTGTGGCAACCAACATGTCATCAACATATAACAAAAGATAAATCATGGAACCATTATCCAGCTTACTATGATACACACAGCAATCATATGAATTCCTGTCAAAACCTTGTGAAACCATAAAAGAATCAAACCTTTTGTACCACTGTCGGGGGGATTGCTTAAGTCCATACAATGACTTTAGCAATCTGCAGGCATAGTGTTCCTTTCCAGGAACTTCGAATCCTTCGGGCTGCTTCATCAGAATCTCCTCCTCCAAATCGCCATGAAGGAAAGCCGTTTTAACATCCAACTGCTCCAGCTCAAGATCAAAATGTGCTACAATTGACAATAACACACGGATAGAAGTATGTCGAACCACAGGTGAGAATATCTCAACAAAATCAACCCCTTCTACCTGACTGAACCCCTTAGCAACTAGCCTAGCCTTAAAACGTATTTGCTCAGTTTCCGACAACCCTTCTTTCTTCTTGTAAATCCATTTACAACCCACAAGCTTCCTCCCTTCCGGTACCTTTACCAGTTCCCACACTCTGTTCTTGTAAAGAGACTGCATCTCTTCACCCATTGCGGCAAGCCATTGCGCAGACTCACTACAACCAATTGCTTGTTTATATGTGGCAGGTTCAAATGACTCTACATCATCAGCTACACTCAATGCATAACCTGTCATCGCATCAACACAGCAATTTCTTCCCTCCATCTCTTCAATCAATCTAACAGGCTTCTTGATAACTCGTTTAGGCATCTCAAGAATGGTGTCAGGTTGACTAGATGACCCCTGATTAGATTGCTCCACCTCATCCCCAGAGTTAGAATGAGTAGGAGTAATCTCAGGTTCAGGAGTACCCGGCACTGGAACATCAGCATCATCATCAATATATTGTACCCGAGGTAAATCAGCAATGGTAGACTGATGTACCTCAAGTACCCCATCTGTCTGTAATAAATTGTCTCCTTCCCTTCTCAAATCTGAAATCTCTGCATTTTTAATTGAATACATGGTGTTTTCATCGAAAGTAACATCCCTACTAAGAATGACCCGACCCTCCGAAGGTGAAAAAATTCTAAACCCCTTCACACCATCCCCGTACCCAACAAAACACCCCTTCTTGGCTCGTGGATCCAGCTTACCCTCAATAACATGATAATAAGCAACACAACCAAAAATCTTCAAATTCGAAAAATTAGGCAACTTACCACTCCAGATCTCAAACGGAATTTTGGAATCAATTCCAGAATGAGGACCCCTATTAATGACATAACAAGCTGTTAACACAGCTTCACTCCAGTACCTCCTCCCAAGCCCTGCATTAGAGAGCATGCATCGGACTCTCTCTAGCAGTGTCTGATTAACCCGTTCTGCTACACCGTTCTGCTGTGGTGTCTTCCTGACAGTATGATGCCGACCTATACCCTCATCTGCACAGAACTGATTAAACTCGTCTTTGCAAAACTCTAGCCCATTGTCCGTTCGTAGCTTCTTGATCTTCCTTCCTTGTCGATTTTCCACCAAAGCTTTCCATTGCTTGAAAACTTTGAAGGCCTCATCCTTTGACTTAAGCAACCTAAGCCATGTGTATCGGGACTTGTCATCAACAAATGACACAAAATAGTGGTAACCTCCCATACCTTCAACTCTAGATGGACCCCAGCAATCTGAATGGATGTAATCGAGCACTGCATCAGTAATGTGAGCACCCTTGCTGAACTTTGACTTGTGTTTCTTACCAAACACACAATGCTCACAAAATTCAAGGTTGGCAACCTTGACCCCGGATAGAAGACCCCTCTTGGACAATAGCTGCATCCCCTTCTCCCCCATATGACCAAGCCTCATGTGCCAAATCTTAGTCATCTCCTGGTGAGATACAGATGCGCAAACCGCAGAACTAGGCAGTGTAACACCCTCAAAAACATAGAGGGTGTTCCTTTTGATACCCTTAAGTACCAACTCAGAACCTCTGAAAATACACAACTCCCCATCTGAAAACACACCATTGTACCCCAATTCATCCAGGGTACCCAATGAAATCAGATTCTTTCCTAAAGCAGGAACATGCCGTACATTAGTCAAAGTTAACCTCCGCCCATCAACAGTCCTCAACCTCATGGAACCAATACCTGTGACCTTACATGGAGCATTGTTACCGACTATAACCATACCCCCATTGCGAGGTTCATATGTATCAAACCAATCTCGACGTGGACACATATGGAACGAACACCCCGAATCTAGAACCCAGTTATCAGATAAATCATCAGACCTAGCAGAACTGACTAATGCTAAATCTTCCTCTGAATTATAGCTCTCATTCGGTTTCTCTTCAACTACAGCAGCCTGGGACTTGTTTTTCCTCACCGGACAATTATTCCTAAAGTGACCCGGTTCTTTACAGTAATAACATGTTTTAGTAGTAGTTTTACTAGATCCATCCTTGCCGTTTCCAGCACCCGACCCAGCATTGTTCCCCTTGTTAAACCCCTTATTCTTTTTAGACTTTCCGGACTTAACAAATAACCCACTACCATTATCCCCATTATCACTCGTAGCTTTCATTCTGAGTTCCCTAGTATGAAGTGCTGCCTTCACTTCTTCTAAGGTTATAGAATCCTTACCAACAACAAAAGACTCTACAAAATTCTCAAAGCTAGACGGTAGAGATACAAGTAAAATCAACGCAGCATCCTCATCATCAATTTTAACATCTAAATTACGTAAATCAAGCAAAATAGAGTTAAGTTTTTCTAGATGTTCCCGTAAGGAAGTACCTGACTGCATCCGGAGGCTAAACAACCGCTGTTTCAGTAATAATTTGTTGGTCAACGACTTAGTCATATACAATGACTCCAGCTTCAGCCACAATCCAGCCGCCGTTTCCTGATCAGCCACCTCCGTGATGATTTGATCATCAAGACTAAGTAATATGGTAGAGTGTGCCTTCTCTTCCATAACTTCTAACTGCGAGTCAGTCGGTCCGTCTCCTGACTCCGAAGTAGTACTCTTTGGAGCCAACGGACGCCATATCTGCTGTTGTTTTAACAGAGCCTTCATCTTAATTTGCCATAGCCCGAAACTATTTTTCCCGGTAAACTTCTCAATTCTTATTGTTGAATCTCCTGCCATTGTTATCTTCAAGAAACTCTCCAAGGATTGAACCTGAGCTCTTGATACCAATTGTTGTGCGACAGCGGAAGCAAAGGTCGTAAACAAACAAGAAAACAATAAAGAAATTCAATGCAAACAATAAGAACAACACCAAGAATTTACGTGGTTCACTATCGATGTGATAGCTACGTCCACGGGCACCGAGATCGAATGATTTCACTATAAACTGGCAAAGATTACAAAGATTACAATGAAGAACTTAATCACTCAAAGTATTCTCTCTCTTGTGTTTCTCTCTCCGTTTCCCTAATAATGATAATAGGAAGTTTATATAGTAGTGATTCCTAATTAAGATATACTTAGGTTACAATATCACAATATGATAAATATTAAATTCGTAATCGCTGAAAAAAACCCAGATCGCCCGGTCGGGCGAAGGCCCGCCCGATCGGGCGCGAGAACACGTCTTTTCCAACAACCGAAGTACTCCAAAAAACCCCTTCCGCCCGGCCCGATCGGGCAATGTCCGCCCGATCGGGCGAAGGCTCGCCCGGTCGGGCGAAAGCTCGCCCGGTCGGGCGCGCGAGAGCAGCTTCTTCAACGAATTTGCCAGGCACCTCTTCTTCTTCCGCCCGGTCAGACCGGGTAATGTCCGCCCGATCGGGCGGACAAAGCAACGAAGTACGAGTCACCTAATACTTATCAACACTTATCAACGTGTGGAGTCCTGTAGTTATAGAAAATCAACTCTCAGACACCTCTGTTTTTTGTTGCAAGTGATGATGGTGACGTTACCAACGCTATTCAAGCTGGCTGGGCGGTAATACATAATTTTTTGCCTTCACCTTCATACATAAGTTGTTATAAGTTTGGCTCATCACTACAATTGTTTATACCATTTTAGGTATATTCATATTTATACCAGAATTCTACTCGGTTATACTCTTATTGGACCGTAAGTATTCTTATAATCTTTATTTAATCCTTAAACATTACTCCGTATAATGTAATATGAGGTGTTGCACCTTATATTAAATAAAATAAGTAAAATCCGAAATTAATGATATTTTTTGAAACATATGTAGAGGGATACAGGGAAGATCACAGGGTGTTACAATGCATTGTGTCCAGGATTTGTACAAGTTAGTCAAAGCGTTACTCTTGGCCAAGTTATAGATCCTATATCAACTTATTGGGGTCATCAAGTTTTTACAAATACTACCATTCAACAGGTACTTATACTTCTAGTCTTCAATAAGTTAATAAATATATTTTTTGGCGAGTTTCAATGTGTTACACATAATCATCATATCGTAATACTTTCTAACTACCTAAAAACTAAAAAGTATCGTACTTTTAAAAATTGATACGAGTCATACGACAAGTACAGTACAGTATCTTATAATTTACTATTGGAGATGCTCTTATTGACACAGGACCAAGTTACGAAAAACTGGTGGCTTATCTTTGAAACCGAGCCTTTAGGATACTTTCCGAAGGAGCTGTTTAGTACCTTAGCGAATGGTGCAACAAGAGCAGGGTGGGGAGGAGAAGTTTACACCCCAACGACGGCTACCTCTCCGGCGATGGGAAGTGGTAACTTCCCAGAAGACGGATATTCAAAAGCTTGCCTTATATCAAAGATGCAAGTGATAGGTCCACAATATTTTCCTAATGGAACAGACCTTAGACAGACTATAACTAAAGCAGATTGTTACAGAGCTCTTTATGGAGGAAATGTTGGAGGTGACTTTGATAATCATATGTTTGTTGGTGGACCTGCAAATTGTAATGCTTGAGTTATTGTGCAAATTGTGTCATGAAACTCATCTTTCAATTGATGAATTGATTGTATGAACATAGAGTTATCGTATTTTTCGGGGTAATTGGTTAATGAGTGATTAAACTAGGTACACACATAATTGAATTTCATGGACTTTGCCAATAGTAGTACATGAACAATGTAAATAATTAGCGGGTCGGTTTATAACGGGTTGAAATAATTAGCGGGTCGGTTTGGGTCGGTTTTGAAAATTATCGGGTCAGTTTGGTTTGGATTTTTAAATTGCAGTTTCTATTCGGATCGGGTCCATATCGGGTCGGGTTCTAGTAGGTTCGGATCATAATCAATTTGGGTTGAACCGGGTCGGTTTGAAGGGTTTAGCCCATTTAATGTGGGTTTCGGTTAAAAACAGTTCGGGCCTTAATGAGGATGGGTCGTAATTGGTTCGGGTCATAATCAGTTTGGGTTAAACTGGCTCGGTTCGAAAATGGGTTTCGGTTCAAAACAGATCGGGTGAAATCGGGTCCAATCATTATTGTTTCAGTTTATAATCGATTTAGATTGAACTTGGTTGGTTTGAAAACGAGTTTACCCAATTTGAAGCGGGTTTATTCTACAAATCATATCGGGTTAAAATTGAGTCGGATGATTATCGAGTCGAATTAGTCAGATAACGGGTAGGAACGGGTCATGTTATAATCAAGTCAAGTCATAAATAAGTTGGGATTATCGAGTAGTGGGTTGAAACAGATTAGATCATAAACATATTGGGTAACAGGTTGTAATAACGGGTTACGGGTGTAAATGGTTTGGTCTCAACGAGTTACAGGTCGTAAACGGTTCGGTTACAACGGGTTACGGGTTATAACCGGTTTGGTCACAACGGGTTACGGGTTGGAACGATTTAGGTTTATTGGATTTTTATCGGGTTTTAATGGTTTTCGGTTTAAAATGGGTCGGGTTAGTATCAGGTTTAGGCGTAATCGGTTTGGGTTGCTTTCAGTTTCGGGTTGTAACGGTTTGGTTTGATAACGGGTCAGGTTAGAAACGGTTCGCACAAATTCGGTTCAGTTCAGTTTCGAGTTGGAAAAAATTGGGTCGGGTCAGTTTTCGGTTTCCAAAAAACGGGTTTTAAACAGTTCAGTTCCTTTTCGGATCGGTTTGAAACAGTCGGGTTTAACGGTTTGGGTCAGAAACTGACATCTCTACTTGTGGCCAATTAAGTTAGTAGCAAACCATTGAGAAGGAACATTAAATATTTATTATGACACACCTCTTTGCGAAAAGAACAACATAAACACGGTGCATCTAACATTTGAACAAATTCAATTCAATCACATAAAACCCCATGCATGTTAATTTAAGTCTATACTATGTATTAAAAGACATTTTGAATCAAGTCCACATACCACATGGCATTCTCCAAAACATTTCGAATCAAGTCTACATGCCATGTGTCACTTTCCTATCTTTCTTTATTGGGTATTATTCATGTTATTACACATTAATTAAAAAAATTATACACATGCCTTGTATAAGATTCGAACTCTTGATCTCAAGGTTTGTAAGAAGAACAGAAAAAAAAAAATAAAAAAAAATAAAAAAAAAATGTAATACATGTCTTAATATGTATCTCTAATACCTTTCACAATTATTTTAATATACGAAGTATGTAATAACTCGAGGCATCACCCAAATCCAAAAACTAGTTGCTAATTAAAAAAAAGTAGCATGTCTTTTATTTCAAAATTGAGTAAAATAATAAAAAGGGTATTATTTTTAATTACCACACAAAAAGACAAAACATAGTTAAAGGAAAGAGATTATATATGCTAGTCAAATTCATTGGCAACAATCAACAAAGATTTCGAAGCATTTATGATGGATTATATTGGACCATATATATATAACCATATGTTCTACGTATGTTATATGTTCATATTTTACATTTTTTTTTGACAGTGAGAACTAGCAAGAAAACAAACAACAGAAAAACAAACTAAAAAGACCAAATAAGAAGCTCCCGACACCTAGCCTTCCCTGCCAACCAATGAGCCGGAGCAACCCAAAGCCTGGGCACTTTCTGAATCCTATAAACCTCAAATGAGGACAATAAGGATAGTAGATCCTGAAGAAGCCAAAGAAACGAAATATCAACCCGACTCTGACCAGCAGCAACCTGGCATAAGACCACACAATCCGTATAAATAAGCACCCGTCGATAGCCCCTCCTGAATGCATTACGCAACCCCCATTAACAAGCCAGCAACTCAGCATGAATAGCCGAAGAAGCACAAGTAGCACGAGCACCTCCTCCCAGAAAAAGAGAAGAGTCGGGAGTCCGAAAAACCCAACCCACTCCGGCAGTATTATCCCTAACTGACCACGAACTATCTAAGATGACACAGAACTCCAAAGACCTTGAAGAATCCCCTGAAAGCAAAAAAGTAGAACCAAACAGGCCCGAAGGAATCCTAGTCAAAGGCCTATTGATGGCTACAACAAACCGTTGGGCTTCCTGACATCTGATAACCCAACTAGAAGCCAGGACCAAAACATCCTCAGAAACCAAGGACTGCCAACGAAATCGGAAATTGTTTATAGAAATCCAAATAACCCATAACAAAGCAAACAAAGATGTCAAGCTATTCCAGTCCTTAGAAGAAGAAAAAGTCGAGATCACATCGACCAACCAAATCTGAAAGGATTGTGCTGACAAATCATGCAAACTAAAGGCCAATGAACTACGTAGAAAGAGGTGCTTGACCACCTCGCAATCACGAAAAAGGTGACCCACCGTTTCCTCCTCCACATGGCAAAACGAACACAAAGGATCAACTGAAATACCCCTTTGAATAAGAACAGCGGCCACTGGAAGAGCATTGCGAAGCAACTTCCAACCAAAAACCTTCCATTTCGGGAGGAGTGGAAGACCCCAAAACCTGCGCCACCATTGGGGAAACACAAGATCCGTCCCCGAACGATGAGAAGTAGCACAAACCAAAGAAGTATAAGCCGATTTAGTTAAAAAGATCCCATCCCTAGTATGTTTCCAGTAAAAAAAATCATCCATTCGCTGAGAAGGCCTTTCAAGAGCTAAAATCCTGACGGCCATAACAGCATCAAACATGCGATGGACCTTAACCGTATCCCACGCGTTTGAACGCGGATCAATAAGTGAAGAAACATGATTCGGAAGATTTGACTCGGAAACACCCTCCCTAAGCGTAGGAGGGCCATTCGGAACCCAAGTGTCAGCCAGAATTCTAACCTGGGAACCAATCCCGACCTTCCACATAGTTCCTGAAGCCAACGTTGAAAAGCCCACCTGAAGACTACGACAACCCCAAGAAGAACGAAGAATCCGAAGCTCCGGGCGAGATCGGCGAGTCGGATACTTGGAAAATAAGAGGCGGGACACCAAGAGCTGGGGGTTATGAGACATTCTGTCACCTTGACGAGCCAAAAGCGCCGAATTAAAGCACCCTATATTACGAATCCCAAGACCACCTAGGCCCTTCGGTAAATGGAGCAAGGATGCCGAACGCAGAGCCAAGCCTTTGGAACCCACCGAAGACCGCCACCAAAACCGAGCAAGCAAATTATCAATATGAGAACAAATAGTCGACGGAATCTTGAACACCGAGAGAACATGATTAAAGGATGCCACCAATATCGAGTTAATAATAATCAACTTTGCTGCTGCCGACAAACGAAGAGAGGCAAAGGATGCCAAGAGAGCAGCCACCTTATCAATCAAAAACCCGAAATCATTCACCTTACTTCTCCCTAAATCCATTGGAAGTCCCAGATAAGAACCAAAGGACGGGGCCACCCGAAGTCGTAAACTACAACCTAAGGCCTCATTATAATCTTGGGGAGTATTCGGACTAAACTTAACAAATGACTTATGCAAATTAATCATCTCTCCTGATTCTGCACAGAAAGGGTGAAGAAGTCCCATTATATTATCACAGGTTTGCGGCGAAACCTTAAAGAATAAGAGAGAATCATCCGCAAAAAATTAATGCGAAATGGAAGGACTTCCCCTAGCTATCCGAATACCTGACACAAAACCTTGTTTCTCCGCTCTGCATAGCATGGCAGATAAGACTTCCATACATAGCACGAAAAGATACGGAGATAAAGGATCTCCTTGCCTGAGACCACAATTCGGAACCAAGACAGAAGTAAGAGAACCATTAACCAAGACCTGATAAGTAACCGTAGTAACACATTGCTCAATAATATGAACCCAGTAGGGCGGAAAACCAAAACCGCGGAGAACCCGGAGCAGAAAATCCCAGCGCACTCTATCATAAGCTTTGTTCATATCCAATTTAAGAGCTGCATAGAAAGTTTTGCGAGCTCTCGAAGAGTTCATATAAGAAAGCACCTCATGAGCCATCAAAGCATTATCCGACAGTAAACGGCCTGGAACAAAGGCATTTTGAAACAATGACACCAAAGATGGCAAAATTTGACGTAGACGACCCGTTATGCATTTGGCAATACACTTATACATCACATTGCATAATCCAATAGGTCGAAATTGGGACACAGTGTCTGGCTGAGAAACCTTAGGAAGTAACACCAGGAAGGTCCTATTCCAATCCTTCAACATATAACCATGCGCAAAAAAATACTGAACCGCCGAAATGACTTGATTCCCTAGCAGAGGCCAATGGGTTTTAAAAAAAGCAAAAGAAAACCCATCCGGCCCCAGGGACTTATCATCAGCAATAGCGAACATTGCGTTTATAATTTCCACATCTGAAAAAGGACACAACAAGGCCGCCTGTTGAACGGAAGAAAGGGCTGGAAGATCTAATGTATCCCAATGTATTTCACCTAAATCACCCGGAACCTCAGTAGGGGTATACAGATCAGAATAAAATTTCAGAATCATAGCCCGTACTTCTTCCCTATCCAAAATCCAAACCCCTGAGTCATCCTTAAGACTATGAATCAAATTTCGACGTTTCCTTGCCTGGACCACCGAAAACAACAGTTTTGACCCCGATTCTCCCAACGCATCCCATCTGACCTTCGCACGTTGACGCCAGTACAAATAAGCTTTTTGGGCTTCCTCCATTTTCTCATTACGAGCATTGATAAAAAGACGCCGAGCTAAGGGGGAATCTATAGACATTGAATTAGCTGAAATATCATGACAAAATTTCCTCCAATTAATTCCCCAAGATTCCCTATGAGAAAGGCACCAGAATCGAAGTTTATCCCGAATAACCGACAGGCGGCGAGATAAAGCAAACTGGGGTGAGCCCGAAAAATGGACGAGGCAAGTAGCAGAAATCAGCTCCACAACCTCTTTTGCCTCCAGACACCAATTTTCAATCCTGTAAGGCCGACGAATAACAGACCTATTAATTCAATTGATTTTGTAGAATTGTAGAATTGTAGTTGTTGATTTGAAACTACATGGAGAAAATTCAATTGATTTTATTGGTTCTTCTACTATCTTGCATGAATTTGATACAATCAATAGAAGTAACATTATTATTTCAAGAAGAGAATTCTATGGTAAAAAAACGACTTGAGCTTATCAACAAGCCAACCATTAAGAGTTTCCGGGTTTGTAAACCTCAAATCCTACATTACATTCTTTAATTTACAGTCGAGAAATTATATATTGATGTCTAATGAAAATTAGAAGAGAATTATTTAAAACAAGATAAATCAACACGCTAAATAAATGAATGATTGGGTGCAACAATACATGTAATGTATGATATGTACTTCTTTTTCCATCAACCAGACGAAGCATGGTGACATTCTGGATTGCGTAGAGATAAACAAGCAATTTGCTTTAGACAATCCATTACTACACAATCACTCAATTCAGGTTTGTTCAGTCCATTTCTTATTTATTTTTTATGCTGAATTTCATGCATGCCTTTGCTTATTTTGATTGACAATTTAGTCCTAAGATTAACTAAAGTCTTCAATTTACATGCAGATGAAACCTAATTTCAAGGTCTCCAAGCAAACTACATCAACTATTGGCTCTTATACAATATTAACGCCTTCACAACTTGTACCAAAAAGTACAAGATGTCCTAGAGGAACTGTTCTTATCAAAAGGATCCAAGAAGAGGACCTTGCAATGGAAAAAAAACCTATCTTTGTTAAGGACGACAATTTCAACCACCAAATCTTCCAAGTTTGTTACCCCTAACATTGATACAATACCCGGACACTATGTAAGTGTGATTAAAAGGTTTCTATCTGACTGCGGCGACAAAATTAATTTATGTTATAAGCATGATTAAATGGTTTCTTATTTTTAGTCTAACTTCATTCATGTTTAGACATGTGTTCTTACTAACGGGTAACAATATAAGTCATTTATGTTAGATTAAAAATTACTCGTAATTTAAAAAGGCTAGATGAGTTTAAGAGCTCTAAAAAGACTTATGTTGTTACCCGTTAGTTAATTATTCTTGCAAATTTAATAGGATAAAATATGTTTTCTTATTTATGTACTAAATCTATAATTCAAGCGAAAATGAAGGGGGTTAATTTACTATACGTTTTTATAAATGATAAAAAATTTCCATGCAGATTGCAACTGTTGTAGCATCAACCAACAGCATAGGAGTTTCTGGTCATATCAACGTGTGGAGTCCTGTAGTTTTAGAAAACCAACTCTCAGATACTTCTGTTTTTGTTGCAAGTTATGATGGTGCTCTTAGTAACGCCATTCAAGCAGGCTGGATGGTAATACATGTTTCTTGCCTTCTAACAAAAAATACTTCGCATTAACTTATTGTAAGTTCGGCTCACCACAATTATATTGTTTAATAAACATTTCAGGTAAATTCAGATTTAAAACAGAACTCTTCTCGGTTTTATGCCTATTGGACCGTAAGTATTCCAATCTTTTTTTTTGTAAACCCCTATACATAGTACACTACAAAGTAACATGATATGTTGTGCAGAAGGATACTGGGAAGACTACAGGGTGTTACAATGCATTGTGTCCAGGATTTGTTCAAGTTAGTCAAAGAATTACTCTTGGCCAAGTAATTGATCCTATATCAATTTATTCGGGTCAACATTATTTTATACCCACCACCATTCAACAGGTATTTGTATTTCTATCGATTTACAATGTGTTACAAATTACTACGTCGTTAGCTTAAAAGTGTTGTAGCTTAAAAAAATTCATATAAGAATGCTACAATAACTTGTAACTTACTATTGGAGATGCTTTCACTAACACAGGACCAAGATACGAAAAACTGGTGGCTTTCCTTTGGAACTGAGGGTGTTGGATATTTTCCAAAGGAGCTGTTTAGTACCTTAACGGAAGGAGCAACAAGAGTTGGTTGGGGAGGAGAAGTTAACAGCCCAACAACGGCGGTTACTCCAGCAATGGGAAGTGGTCATTTCCCAGAAGAAGGATATGCAAAAGCTTGCCTTATATCAAAGATGAGAGTGATAGGTCCACAGTTTTTTCTTAATGGAACAGACCTTAAACAGATTATGACTAAACCAAATTGTTACAGGGCTAAATATGGTGGAGATGTTGGGGGTGACTATGAAAACCATATGTTTGTTGGCAGACCGGGAAATTGTGTGCCTTAACTATCATGAAACTCATTTTCTTTCAATGAATTGACTCTCAAGGACATAGACATTGTTGTATTTTCGAATTTTCGATGTATACTGCATAGTCATATAAATCTCAATTGGTCAATTTATTAGTGATACAACTAGGCTCATTTAAAATTTCATGGACTTTGCCAATACTAGTTCATACTCTATTGAGTTCCTAGTATTAGAATATTAGTACAGATACATATTTCGTGACAAGTTCTGCTAATACCTCTATACAAACAAGCTGTAATAGCTGTAAGCAATTGACAACTACTTAAGCAATGAAGTAACAAAAAAAATCACAGATAAAACGTAACCGTTCAATCTCGTGCAAAACCAATGTACAACTGCATAGCATCTTTGCAACTTCTAGATGCATGTTACTGCAAAACAATCTACTTGTAAAGAATATGCAGAACATAATATACACTGCATACTATGGTGATGTAAATCTCAAATTTCATCAGTTCCCTTTTTATTCAACAGTATTTTCCAACAATGGATGAGTATGTGGTGAAATAAGTATATGGAGTTCTGATGTTACACTCGAACAGCTTAGTGCTGCTTCTGTTCAGGTTGCCAGTGTTGATGGTTGTAACGGTATAGTAGCCAGCCTGATGGTAAATGCTTGCTACATACTACAGTAGTATCAAAATTCTTTTTCTTTACAGAAGAAACATGAATGATGAATGAATGCAGCCATGTATATCTGACCTAAACCAAAAAACTGATACATGCCTCAAGCAATATACCACTAGTGAATTTACACAGAAATATAGCAACATTTAATTCAAAAGAGAAATTTTTTCCTAGGATCTTCAATTAAAGCTTACAAATTGTAAATCACAAAAAAATTGACTGACCTGAAAAATCTTGTATAATTGTATAAATCACTCTTTAATTGAATAGAGGGATTCAAAGAAAATTTTGAACACAAACAGCACACTTTATGTTTTAAGAGTACTTTTTTTTCTTCTTTCTCTAGATCTTGTTGAAAAATAACAGTCCACTAACATTTTGAAGATTCATTTATATTTTACTTCCAAGTTCCTACCTCTGTCTAAAATAGAACTTTTCAGGGAAATCCTTATTTGTACCTGAAGTTTATGCGGTTATTCACTTACTGGACTGTAAGTATTTTGATCTTTCCACTTTACATCATAAAGTAGCAAGGAATATCTAACAGTACACAATGTAACATTGTCCAATAAGATTTTATGGACGATGTAACACAACTAACAGGAAGGCAGTATCATATGGCATCAGAGAGCAACATGCTATAGCTACATTGATTCCATTATTTCTCCGCTTATTTCTATAACCAGAGTAGGTTGAGAGGAGAAACTTACAGAACCTGAGAAGAAGGATTTTCAAAAGCTTGTTCAATAATGGACCAAACTTGGTTGGTCCATACAATTTTATTAATGAAAAATATCTCAAAACGTTTTTCAACTAAGCCTGATTGTTAGTGAAGTATGAAGGTGATGGTCGGGGTGGGGGTGGGGGTGGGGTGGGGTGGGGGTCATCGAATTGTCAGTTTTGTGACAAACATGAAACTCATTTTGTTTTCTATGAGACAAAGTCTGTGGACATAATCACATGAATATAGTAGTCATTGTAACATAAACGTCGCTCAATTACAAAACTAACAAGGCTATACAAACGAGATATTTAAATATAGAGCATAGAGTACTTATATATTCAGGGAAGCCAACTGCTTGTATCTAATTTTTTTTAAATGGGCATATATTATCAATATATGTTGTACATCTGACAGCATACAAACAAGGAAACCTGAAAACTTACAATACCTCTCAGAAAATCTTCAATGCATGCAGTTTCAACATCTCGATTTCATGTCTGCTACTCATCAGTTATGCAACCCCTCGAAGCTGACTGCACATTCTTGATGTACTAAAGATCAAAAAAATAAATATCAGCAAGCGAATATTAAGGAAACTATATGGGAGCACCAAATTTTATATTGGATTGATCATATATAATCCATTTAATTTCCATCAATGTTAATTGCAGAAACTCAACATAGTTGTACCTTGTACAAGACTCCTTTATTTGCCTTTAAAGGAGGTGGAGTCCATTTTTCCCTTCGCTCTTTGATCTCCTCTCCTGTTAAGTGAACGTCCATCCTCCTCTTAAGAACATCAATTGTAATAATATCTCCATTTTGAATGAAAGCGATTGGTCCACCCTCCTGCAAAATCAAAATGAGGGAAGTTCTCATCAGAAATTCAGAAATCAGAACATACAGATAATTTCCATGCTTACTCTTACAGATTGGTTCAGAAGATTAAAAAGATAAATATACCTGTGCTTCTGGACAAACATGACCTATAACAAATCCATGTGAAGCTCCTGAAAATCTTCCATCTGTCAATAAAGCCACATCCTGCAAAAGTATAAAAGACAATTAGACGAAATGAAAATATTGAAAATCAAAGTAAACATGAATGAAAAATAAGAAGCACTAAATATTGATGATAGTACTTCGTATAATTTTACCTTTCCAAGGCCTGCTCCCACTATTGCACTAGTTGGTGTCAACATTTCAGGCATACCTGGTCCGCCTTTAGGTCCTTCTCCCCTAATAACAACAACTTTTCCCTGGAAAATAGAACTGATAGAATTGGCCATTGAATTGCAGAAAAAACAGGAAATTAAACATTTTAAAGCATGATAACAAAATCTTCTAGTTCCTAATGCATTAAAAGATCATGTAGCGTAGAAACCTTAAAGCTCTGAGGGTCCTCTGAAATGGCAGCAACCATAACTTCTTCTCCTTCAAAAACAAGTGCAGGGCCTGAAAATTTTACACAATCATTTACTGGATTTTCTTGAGAAACAGTGTTGAAACTTGAAAGGAAAAAAACCTGTTTAGTTGGTAATGATATTGAATTATACGCAACTTCGTAAGGGAAGCCTAAAGCTAATGTAAATGGTAATGCAGCTCCCTAAGTTTCATGTCCAATCAATACCATCTTTAAAGTCTAATGTAAATTTATGAAGAAACAGAGATTTTGGGAGGTGCTTAAAGCATTGGCATGGACATTGACAAGAGACTTCTTAATATAAGTACATTTGAATCATTACTACTTTATTTACCACCCACAAAATGGTTTGAAAATGTTATTACTTCCAACAACCAAAAAACATTAAAGAAAAAGAGACAGTACCAGAGAAATATAATCCTTCTTTTCCAGTAATTTTTGCTACAGAACCCTCTGGAGCAAGGTTACCATACAATATCTGGATATGTCCTGTTTCCTTGATGGGATTTGATTGTGACTGTATGATTTGCTGAATATTTCACCAAATATACGAAAAGTTAAACCACAATCTTAAAAAGAGACATTCTGATTAGCATCCAAGAAAAAGCACACTATATATATATATATATATATACTTCCTCCGTTTTTTTTTTATTGCATCATAGGGGTTTTGGAGGCAAAATTTGGTAGTGGGAAAAAGTAAGAGAGAGAAACGTAAAAATACAAAATTGTCCATGTAATGTAAGATAAAATAAAAAGTAAGTGTGAAAAAGTAAAGGTATGTTGGGTATTTGCAGTGTGAACATAGATATTTTTTATCCTAAAAAGGAAATGATGCAGTAATAAGTAAACTTCCTAAAGTAGTAAGTGATGCGATAAAAAAAGAATGGAGGAAATATATATATATATATATATATATATATATATATATATATATATATATATATATATATATACATATATATATATATTTATATATATATATTTATATTTCATACCTGACCTTCAGCCAAGGCAGGGAAGAGTTTGGCATTCTCAGCAAGTGTTTTCCCCGTAACTAGACAATGTGACAGAGTGACAGATAGAAGAGTGAATAAAAGATCCATAATAGCATTTTAATTGCATGCACTATTCTTGATATCCTATATACATACCAGTAATGCAATCCCCATCCAAGTATCCCAGATCAAGAAGGTGGCGAATCACTGCAGGAGTACCACCAATCTGCATTATATTGGCCCAGCCAAAAATAAAAATAAAAATAAATCATAGACAATCCTAACAAAGCTCAGCAGCTACAACACCAAGAAGGCAAGAACTATAAACTGAGAGAAGCAATAAACTTGCCTTGTGTAAATCTTCCATGACATATTTACCACTTGGCTTAAGATCTGCAAGCAATGGAATCTTATCGCTAACCTTTTGAAAGTCATTGAGAGTCAAGTCTAGACCAACAGACCTGCAAAGGAAAACATTGATCCTTTTTTTTAGGCATTTTCAGCTCTAAGAATGTACAAAACTTTGGTGGCAAAGGCTCTAACCTAGCAATGGCAATCAGATGCAGGACAGCATTGGTAGACCCACCTAGGGCCATGACCATAACCATTGCATTACGCAGAGAATTCTCGGTAATTATGTCTCGTGGTCTTAAGTTCATTTTGAGTAAATCAAGAATATATTTTCCAGCAAGACGGCACTCATCCAACTTCAGAGAATCTACGGCTGGTGTTGAAGAGCTAGTATAGTAAAATCGAAAAGAAACATCAGAATTCCACGCATAATTATTCTACAAAGAAGCCCCTATTGAAATAGTATACCTGTATGGAAGAGTCATTCCCATAGTTTCAATGGCAGATGCCATGGTATTTGCTGTATACATTCCACCACAAGCCCCTGCTCCAGGACAGGCATTCCGGACAATATCCATTCTCTGTTCATCAGTAATAGCTCCGCTAACATACTCCCCATAACACTATTGTAACAGAAAAGTGTAAGTGCAAAGGGTTGGACATGAGGTAAAAATACAAGAGCTTAAAGTTCATCTTCATACATGTCATGTTCTAACATAATCGGCATCACATAAGATAACTAATTAAATATAAGAAACTCTCAGTAACCAATGTGAAAAATAAGGTACCTCTAAAGCTTTTGCAATATCAAAGGTATGTCCTTGAAAATGAGCAGGCTGCAACTCAGAATAAA